CTAAACCCCCAAACCCCGAAACCCTATAAACCCTAACCCCTGAACCCTAAACCAGTAAACCCCAAACCCTAAACCCCTAAACCCCTAAACCCCGAAACCCTATAAACCCTAAACCCCTAAACCTCTAAACCCCTAAACCCTACACCGCTAAACCCTAAACCCCTAAACCCTATAAACCCCGAAACCCTATAAACCCCTAAACCCCTAAACCAATACAAACCGAGGAGCTCGGCGAGGAGCAGCGCGGGTTTCGATCATTAGCGGCTTAGGGGTCCAGGGCTGGTGGTCTTAAAGGGTTTAGGGCTTTAGGAGCTTTAGGGTTTAGGGCTTTAGGGGTTTAGGGGTTAAGGGGTTTAGGGGTTTAGGGGTTAAGGGGGGTTTAGGGGTTTAGGGGTTTAGGGCTGGCAGGTTTAAGGCTTCGGGGGTCTAGGGCTTTGTAAGGAAGGTTTCGATCAAGCATCCTACGAAATTGGTTCCAGGGACCATCCACCTTTAAGTTCGCTTTTGGTGTGTGTGCTGGTTTACGTATGCAATACCGGACAAGTATCCTTCGGTGTACAAGCGTGACCATGACCTTTTGTGGGTAGACAAGGCTTCGCGTCCACATCAATCAGCCCTAAACCCCCTATACACTATATCCTTAACCCTAAGCCCGGTATGAGCCCTTAAAATCAGACCCAAAGGTCCGAGTCTTAACGGTGTAGAGTTTTGGGTTGAGGGTTTTGGGGTTTAGGGTTTAGGTTAAGCTCCAGAGCTCCGAACCCATTTTTGAAGATCCGCGCGGGCGCTCCTTCCACACACTGCCCCTGCTCGGGAGCCCCAGTTCGACTCCCTCTTCCGGCAGGGGGTGAGAAGCCGATGGGAGCCCGGAAGCTTAAGTTTGAGAAACCCTAAACCTCTAAACCCCAAAACCCCTAGACCCTTAAAAACCCCTAGCCCCTAAACCCCTACAAACCCTAAACCCATTTTAGCTGGTTCCAGGTCCTCGGCCTCCAGGATTTGTATTTTGAGAACTAGTTCAGAACTTTCGCGAATCTCAGCTTCTAAGCTCCAGAACCAGCGGTTTAGTTTAGGGACCGGTTTCGGGTTTAGGGTTTAGCACACATGGGCGCATGCTTCTCACTCTCACCCCCCCAACTGAGAGATCAGATGTAGAATGTAAAATGTAGGTGTATCCAAGCATTATATTATGGGTGTAAAGATAGACCTAAATGTTAATGAAAGAATATAGCCTAGATTATAGATTATTATAAGTCTTACAACTAGGATTACATGACATGTTAGGACCTTTATTTTGCGGTACAGTATTTTACCTACAGGAACAACTCACCTCAACAGTTCTAAATTCAGCTACCCTTGTGCTCCACTGTTTCGCTCCCTTATTTCATTTCCATTTTCTCTTGGTTAATTTGTAAGGGAAATGAGGGGCGCACGAAATTAACAAAGCGAACATAAGAAATGGAAACTGAGGTGAACGAATGCTGGGTGTTTTTTCCTTTCGTCTTTTGCTTCGTTCAGTTCGTGCTTTCTTCTTACGCTGACATTACAACTGAACGAAACAAAAGGGAAAGCAAAGTAACGAACGATCCCCCTCCCCTCCCCTCCCCTCCCCTCCCCTCCCCTCCTTCCCGTCCCTCACCTCCCTCACCTCCCTCCCCTCGCTCCCTCCCTCCCTCCCTCCCTCCCTCCCTCCATGCATTCATTCAGGGCTTCGCGCTTTCTGCAAAGAGGGCTTTGGGTCCCGGGCCCTACACTTCTGGGTCCCGTGCGTTTTCCGAGGCTTTCTCCAGGGGCTCCAGGGTTCAGGGAGAGCTGGGGTTTACTTCGGGGTTCATGTTCCAAGCAGGGTTTTCCTATACTTATAACCTATAACCCATATTCAGGGACTTCTAACCCCACTAATAATAACTACCCGTGAACCTCCATTTAAGCTTCATGGTTCTGTGCAGCGATTGCTCTGTGCAGCTGTCCGAGCTGAAGACAGGTGTCAAAGAGTAGCGTTTTCGTTGGGAAGGGGATATTCGGGGGCATGTCCCAATGTGTCCCCAGTAAGACCTATCCCAAACTAAAACCCGACCTAAACCCTAAACCCTAAAAACCCTAAAACCCTAAACCCTAAATTACAAAACATCCGAAACCGGATTTTGGAAGCTCCCGGGCCAAGAGCAACGAGGCCGGACACCAGATTCGCGGCTTGGCTCACCTGCTCAGAGGCTGCCAGGGGCATGGAGAAGAGAAACCCCAAACCCCCTTTATTTAAGGGTTTTAGGGTTTAGGGTTGTTAGGGTTTTTAGGGTTGTTAGGGTTTTTGGGTTTTTTTTAAGGTTTTTATGGCTTTTAGGGTTTAGGGTTTAAGAGGAACAAGAAACCCAAAAAACCCTTAACTAAGGAATGTGCCCGTAAATTATGGATCCTTAATACTATGATTTAAGGCATATTCCTCAATTAAGGAATATACCTTAAATTCATAGTATTAGGGATCCTATAATTTAAGGGCATATTCCTTAGTTAAGGGGTATTGGGTTCTCCGGGGTGAGAAGGCGTCCATCCTGGAGGCTTTGACAGCTGCACGGTGCTGGAGAGCTTGACCCTTTGTAGGTCTGGATCTCTTCGGACATGGAGATTTGACAGTCTTCAGGGGTTGTAAATAGTTGGGGCTTGAAAGACAGGTGGCGTTGCCGTTGCATACAGAGAGAGAAAGAGATACGGACGGGTACACAGACAGACAGACAGACAGACAGACAGACAGACACTACGATTGTAACAATGATTTGGTCGTTAGCCTTTAGCGTGCTTCCGTTCACCAGCCCCTGAACTCCGAAACCCACCTAAGAAACAGCAAGCGCACGCCTGGTGCCGAGAAGCACCTCGCATGCTTAGCCTTCTGCCTCCTGGCAGGCAAGGAGAAAGTGTCAAGTCATTCGGGGGGTATGGGGCTGTCTCGGAGTTGCTGGGGTTTCAAAGTCTTTGACAAAATTCCACCACCCACATGCGGTGAATCCCCGGGCCCCAGATGTTGGGCCCAAACAAAGTAAGGCATAGAGATCCTTTGGGTTCTTTTGGCACAGCATCGAATCTAACATGAGAACCACTTGGAGGTTCATGGGTAGTTATAAGTGGGGTTATAAGTCCCCGAATATGGGTTATAAGTATAGTTACCCTACTTATAACAACCCATTTATAACTACCCCCCCCCCCCCCAAACCCTCAACCCTATCGAACCCCATAGAACCCTTAAAGGAACCCTATAAGCCCCAAAAGCATGGTGGCTCCTCTTGCTCCGTCTGCAGCTCCTTAAGCTGCTGGGTGAGGGAGGCGACCTGTAGGGGGCCATCTTCCAGAACTTGTTTAGGGGTTTTGGGGGGTTAGTTTAGGGTTTTAGGAATTAGAGGTTTAGGGTTTAGGGTTTAGCCCGTCTTCCAAGGCTTTTACCTTAAGGGTTTAGGGTCTAGGGGTTTAGGGTTTAGGGGTATAGGGTTTAAGGGTTTAGGGTTCAGGGGTTTAGGGGTTTAGGGGTTGAGGGGTTGAGGGTTTAGGGGTGTAGGGGTTTCGGGGTTTAGGGTTCACGTGTTTGGGGTCTAGGGGTTTAGGGTTTCAGGGGTTTAAGGGCTTAGGAGGGTTTAGGCGGTAGGGTTTAGGGGTTTAGGGGTTTAGAGGTTTAGGGGTTTAGGGTTTTGGGCCTTTAGGGTTCAGGGGTTTATAGGGCATCTTCCAGGGCTTTCCCAGACGCTCCAAAACCCATTAACTAAGGAATAGACCTTTGAACTACAATCGGAACCCTAATATGATTTAAAGTATATTCCTTAACTAAGGAATATATACCTTAGACTATAATAGGAACCCTAAACATGATTTAAGGTGTGTATATATATATATTATCAATATATATATATATATAGAGATTCCACAACTAAGGGGCTTGTGGAGTCTCTGGGTTTCCCCGTTTAAGGAAAACCCCCCCCAAGGTTTGAGATCTCCTAGGGGTCCTTTAGAGACTTCCGGGTTGTGGGGGGGATACGGTTGATGACATAACTCCTGCATTACCCATAATAAGGAATATACCATATCTCCCATAGTTTAGGGTCCTTAAGGTAATGCTAAGGAGTTAGATCATCAACAGTATAAATGGGGTTATCAGTAGGGTAACTATACCTATAACCCATATTAGCTTATAACCCCACTTATAACTACCCATGAACCTCCAAGTAGGAGTCTGGGCCTGGAGGCTTTCCGGGGATGTTGACACTTTCACTGAGAACCTTTGCAAGGGCTTAGCCTTGGGGCTTAATATTGGGTACTCTTAACATTACTAATAATTGCTCAGCCCTCGAAATTCGGGTTTTGTTTTTTGGGCTTTGCTATACCCAAGTTCTCCCCCCCAACCTACATAAAGCCCCATTCCTTCTACCCTAAACCCTAAACCCTAAAACCTAAAGCCCTAAACCCTAAACCCTTCCTCTGCGCCTTGGCTTCCAACTCCGCGTTCTGCCGCCTCAGCTCATCGTTGTCGGCGCGGAGCTCCTCCACATCCACGCCTGTATTACATGTATCAAGAGCTATAGCAGACCCTGCGGTTTAAGGTTTAGGGTTTAGGGTTTTTGGGTTTAGGGTTTAGGGTTTAAGGTTTAGGGTTTAAGGTTTAGGGATTAGGGTTTAAGGTTTTAAAGTTTAGGGGGGACTTCTTGGGATGCTCCTTTGCTGGCTTGGGCCTTCCTGGCCCTGGCGGTGTCAGGCCGACTTCTCGAGAACTTGGGGTTTCTGGGGGGGGTCTTTGAGTCCAGGAGTTGCCAAACCTTATAAGCCCTAAACCACCCCAAAAAAAACCCT